TGGGGTGGTCGGGGCGGTGGTGGGGTCTGGGGTGGTCGGGGTTGTGGTGGGCTCTGTAGTAAATTTTAGAATTTTGGAGAATGTGATGGATTCTGTAGTAGATGGAAATGTGGTAGAATCTAAAATCTCTTTGGTTAGGAATGTGGTCTGTCTGGGAGTGGAGTTTTGGAGTGGAGACCAGTAGAACATTCGATTGCCTGGAGAAGTGGTGGATTCTGAGTGGAATAAACCTGTATAGGTTGTTTGGGCTTTGGTGTTGGTAGAGAACTTAACCACAATGTTTGTGGTCACTGTGTCATCATAGGTGTCATAGAGGTCCTGATCGTCACCGAGGGAGGCGCAGCCCTCCCCTAGGTAGGTGTAAACAGGTATAGACAAACTGGTACACCTCACACTGGCCACATTGGGGGTCATGGCCTTGACATCCACACCCTCCTTCCATAAGTAGACATTGTTTGAATTATCCTGTAGCCAGCGACGGAAATAGAGAATCTCACAGTTACATTCCCAGGGGTTGCTGTGGAGGAAAGCAAAAGGCAAGAGATGCTCCCCAAAGAACCCCTTAGGTACTGTATGCAGCCAGTTCTCTTGGAGGTAGAGGGTATCCAGGTCATCCAACCCATCCAGGAGCCCAGGAGGCAGTTTGGCCAACTTGTTGTTAGCCAGATTGAGCTTCTGCAATTTAGGTGTGGGTGCCAGAAGCCCTGAGGATAGATCCCTCAAGCCATTGCCACGCAGGTCTAGCTGTTGGAGTTGGCTCAGTCCATCCAGGACACTCGGGGACACGGAGGCCAGGTTATTAAAGGAGACGTCCAGGATAATGAGGTTTGGCAGTGCCTGCCCTAGTGGGGGCAGGCTTTTCAACTGATTGTGTGACAGAACCAGGGTCTCCAGCTGAGGCAGTTTTCCATCCGTCTGCAGCATGGCCAGCTGACTGTGATCCAGGAATAGCTGGGTGAGGGGAGTCAGAGCCACCACAGATGCTGTGGAGAAAGTAGCCAGCGGGTTTTGACCCAGGCGCAGGATGACTGTGTCCGCTGGCATGTCTGGAGGCAGTGCCTTCAGTCCCAGGTTCTCACAGTTGACCTCCACCTGGTTGGTCTCCTTGGATACCTCACAGGTGAACTGGGAGTGTGAGGGGCTTGGCAACAGGAGCAGCAAGAAGAGAAGATGCATGAGGACCTGCGTTGGGTGGGGTGGGTGGGTGTTAAGTGGGTGTCCTGCCAACCACTGACTGTATTCGCCTGCCCCCAGGCCCTAATGCAGTCTCTAGGTTCCTTTCTAGAGACCCAGCTTCCACTCTTGCCACCTACCCTGGCATCCAAAGCCCAAACTGCTCCTTCCTCTGCTCTCTCCCTCAGAACCCCTTCTCCCCTGCATCCCAAACCCAACTTACAGATAGTCAGAAAGTCCTCCGAAGGCACAGAACTTCTTCCAGGGTGTGACTCAGTCCTTCTGTCTTCCAGCCTCAGGGAGGGCATAGCCAGGGACAGGAAGGAGCTGGGGAGGAAATGCCAGCCTGATAGGGTCTCCCCTCCACCCCCTGACCTGAGAATGGAATTGCCCTCCGGGACACAGGCCCTTATCACCTCCCTCCACAACTTTCCACAAACCCTCCTTTTGGCTCTGCTCTCTCCCACTTTGCTTCCACACTGGGGAGCTCAGGATGGATGCTTTCAGCGACTTCCCCAGCTCACACAGCACTGCTGCAGCGCCGTTAGAGCTCCTTACTGTATTCTTGGTGGTAGTTGGTTATGTGCCGTGAAGTCGGTTCTGACTCAGCAACCCTGTACAGGGTTTTCGAGGCTGTAAATCTTTAAGGGAGCAGAAAGCCTCATCTTTCTCCCATGGAACAGCTGGTAGTTTTGAACCGCTGACCTTAAGGTTCGCAGCCCGATTCGTAACCACCATGCTACCAGAGCTCCTAGAGTTGCCTAATTTTAACTCCCCTCCCTCTATCTCCTCACCCTCCAGGCTAACATCTCCCCTTGCTCCATGGATTTAGTTCTTACCAAGATTACCAGAGCTCTCCATTTTCCAGACACCTCCATTACGATAGGACTTAATTGTGGCAGCCTGTTCGCACATAGTCACACCCTCCTTGGGGTCTCCCTTTGTTCTCTGTGACACTGTGACTTCCCTGGTTTCCCCTCACCTCTCAGTCTCATTTGGAGACTCCTCCTCTGTCTGTGCTGAAATTTTAACTTGTCCCAAAGTTTGGTCTTGGATCCTTATCTTTTCTTCTGCTACATAAGCAAATCATCTAGTTCTTTGTCTTTAACCACTACCTAGACCCCCAAACCAAACCAAACCCTTTCCAACTCACAGTAGCCCTGAAGGAAGTGTAGAACTGCACCAAAGGGTCTTGGAGATTATCGTCTTTACAGAAGCACATTGCCACCATCTTTCTCCCAAGGAGCAAATGATGGGCTTGAACCACCAGTTCAAGACCTATCACCATTTAACTACTGGGCCACAGGGCTCCCTACCTATACCCAGTGACTTTCAAATCTTTATCTCTGACCCAGACTCCTTTCCTGAGGCCCATTTGTATGTCCAAGTGCCTTTTGGACTTCTCTTCTTGGATGTTCCACGGGCACAAAATGCCATGTTCAAAGCAGAGTTTATCATCTGCTACGGATTGAATTGTGACCTACCCATACTATGTGATGGAATCCTAACTTCTATACCTATGGATAGAATCCCATTTGGAAATAGTTTTTTCTCTGCTAATGAAGCTCTATCAATGCAGGTGGAGTCCTGGTGTGGCGCTTTGGTTTAATGCACTGGACTGCAAAACCAATTTGAACCGCAAGGTCGGCGGTTCAAGCTCACCAGCCACTCCTCAGAAACCCTATACAGGGCTTGGAACTGACTCGATAGCACTTAACAACAACATCAGTGTAGGTGTATCCTAAATGTAATCACTTCTGAGTTATAAGGAACAGCATAGACAGAGACAAGTGAGCACAAATGGGAAGAGAGATGCCACCTGGACCTGAGGAAGCCTGAGACTATAGAAGCTTAAAGAGACAAAGATTTTGCTCCAGAGCCAAGAGAGAGAGGTCTGGTGCCCTGAATTTGGACTTTCAGCCTCCTGAACTGTGAGAAAATAAGTTTCTGTTCTTTTAAGCCACCCTATGTGGAATTTCTGTACAGCCGCACTAGGAAGCTAAAATATCATAATCTCTCTAAACAGCTTCTCTTCCTGTGTTCTCCAACTTAATGAAGGGACCCTCATCAACCACATATCTAGTCAGCCAATCAATACACACAAAAACCCGATGGTCCAATAGTCATGCCTAACTCCTTCCTTCCTTCATCTCCACATTCCACCTATCACCAAGTCCTCACGATCTTTTCCTAACCTCATAAGTCCACTCCTCTCCATCCACATTTCTAGTCCACAGACCATATTTTCTCTTGCTTCACAGTGAGAGCCTTCCATCTGAGTTCCCTTTCAGAACTGCACATCAGCTCCTGGTCTTCCCCTGTTCAGAAGGAAGCCTTACATTTCCTACAAGACTGACAGGGTTCTGCATAAACTCACACTTGCTTTCTAGCTCATTGCTTTCCCTTCCACTTCTTACTTGGGATCGTGCTCTTTTCCCAGAGTAGCCTTTCTTTCACCTCTTCTGCCTAATTCTAATTCATTTGGCAGGTCCAGCTCAGAATTTCTTCCTCTGGGGAACCTTTTCCGACTTCCCAAGACCAGGTTAGGTGCCTATTTCAGAAAGGTTCACTGTCCCTTTGAATGATGAAAATGTTCTGTCTGCTGTCCTCCAGAAAGGTCACCCAATACAACCACATGAACCTGCTTCTACTTCCTCACCGCTGGGAACTGAACCTGGGTCAACACTTGAGCCAGTTACAGTTAATCCATAAATTTACCTTTTATAAAAATACTAAAAAAGTATTTGAAGCTATGGAGAAAACGTGGCAGTGAGCAGCAGGGAGGGAAGTGGAATGTTGCAGAAAGAAAAGCCGTGGTGAGGAATATAGCTCTGAGGCTGTTGTCACCGCACTAGGATCCAGTAGAGGTTTTAGTTGTAAGCAACAGAAATTTGGGTAACTTAGGCTGAAAAGAGAGTCCTGGTGTAGCACTGTGGGTTAATGCACTGGACTGCAAGGTCGGCGGTTCAAGCTCACCAGCTGCTCCTCGAAAACCCTATATAAGGTTGCTTTGGGTCAAAACATGCTCTGGGGCACTTGACAACAACAACAGGCTAAAAAGAAATTTATTTTAAAACGTGTAGACTACTTTACACAGTTCTCAGTGAGGGCTGGAGAACTAAGTTTGGAGGTAGGTAACCGGGAACAGTGCCCAGAACTAGGCCGCAGAACCAGTCTGGTGAGCAAACCTCTTCCTGCTGTTAAACCAGGTACCTGCCCCACAGCTGCTGAGCCGGAACTCAGCGTGATCACAACCTCCACCGCGGCAGGGGGAGGATCCTGCGCCATTCCTACCTGCTTCTCTGTGACACTAGTTCCTGAATCAAACTCTGGATGTGAGTTCAATTGTTAATGTGCTTGAGACTCTGCTGCAAGGGAGTCTGGAAAGTTTTCATGGTCAAAGGCAGGTTCTGCTTCTTCAGAGATTCCTAAGTGGAATGACTTTCCAAACATAGAAATAAGATTCATATGCTTTGGCACCAGCTGAGATCATCCTATTTTTACCTTCAAATCTTAGTGTCCTAACTTACATTAATACATTTTCAAATTTTGTATCTTTGAATGCTTGAGAGAAGCATACTTGCCCATTATGAATTCTTCCTTACAACATTTTTTAAATTGTGAATTCAGTGAAGGTTAGCATAATTCTTTAAATACAATTCTATATTGATTAGTTTATTTAGAACTTTTGCATTTGAGTTAGAAAATAGGAATGCCCTGTAGGTTTCGTTTTGGAGGATTTGCCTGTTTTTTTCTGTTTGTTTGCTTGCTTTGTTATCAGGGTTATGCTAACTTTATAAAATCAGTTAGAAAAGTTTATATTCTCAGGAGCCTAGTCTATGTAGTTTGGGTGGAAGTCATTTATAAAACCATCTGGACCTGATATCATCTGAGGGATAGCTCTCCAAATATCTTTATAACCCCTACTATAATCATTGTAGGTTTTCTAATGTTGAGTCAGCTTTGGTAATTTACATTTTCTTAGAAAGCCATCTAGTTCACATGGGTTATAAGGTTGTATTTTTATACTTATGCATTTACCACTTATTAAAATCTCTATATCTGTACCCATGATCCTTTATTTGTTTTCTTTCTCTCTCTCCCAGATTTGGTGAAGATTTGACTACTTTATTGTTGTTGTTAAGTGCCTTCAAGTTGGTTTTGACTCATAGCGACTCTCTATAGGGTTTCTGAGGAGCAGCTGGTGAATTTGAACTGCCAGTCTTACGGTTCAAACTGACCTTTCGGTTCAGTGCATTTTCTCACAGCGCCATACCAGGCCTCCATTATTGGACTATTAAAAAAATCATGTCCTCGATTTACTAGTCAATTGCTATGTTTTTTAAATTTTCTGTTTCGATGAATGTCTATTTTTATCTTTACTAGTTCCTCCTACTCTGAGCTTATTTTAATTCAACCTTCTAAAAGTCTTCACTTATTTCTTTCTTCTTAAGCAAATGCATTTGAATTATACTTTTTGTATGAATACTCTTTGTGATGTCTTCGTGATTATTTGCAGTATTTAAATTTTTTCATCCAGCATGCATTCCTCTTGAAGACAGATAGCTGACATTTAGTAGACTTGAATTCACAGTGACTTTATGCAGAATAGAGTAATATGTTGCCCAGTCCTGTGTCAGCCTCATGGTCACCAGTTCAAGCCCATCATAGTAACTGTTGTGCCAGCCCATCTCATTGAGGGTCTCCCTCACCCTCACTGCCCCTCTGCTTTATCAAACATGACCTCTTCCTACTAAGATTGATCCCACCTGATAACATGTCTGAAATCAGGCAGTGTTCTTTGGTGACATGTAAGGTTTTGTTGGTTTATTTCAGCAGTGGATTGCCAGGTCATTCTACCTAATTTGTTATATTCAAAATTCTTATGAAACCTGTTCACCATGGGTGACCCTGCTATTTGAAATACTGGTGGTGTATTTGCCAGCATCATACTAACATGTAAGCTACCACGTATGACAAGCTGGCAGGTGGACAGTGGCCTC